GCTGTATACCGCATATTTCAGAAGAGGAAGCTCAAGAGAACAGGATCTAACGGTCGACTCTCTGACACGAGGAAAGTTCAGAGATTAGAGGATGAGAAGATTAAGCCCAGTTTCATAGATTTCACAGTGTTGTATGGGAGTGACACGGGACCTCCCCCACCTGGCTCTCCAAGTTTGAGTGAAGGCAGTGAAATCGCTTCTAACAAGCTAGATTAGGAGAAGATGAGGAGCTTGCATTAATTAGATTTTCTTTGTCATGATTATTATTATTATTGTTATTATTATTATTATTATTATTATAGTCACTGAGAAGTCCTTAGAGATTAGAGAACTCTTCGTGGGCATTTGTTTTGATGTAAGAGCAGCACAAACAAGTGAGTTTATTAATAGTACTATGGACTAACTTGCTTTATTAATTTGACATGATTATAGTGGGAAGATAGTTGAGAATATTTATGGTTGCTCTGAACGTAAAGCTTGTTATTATCAAAAGGGCAATGATGTGTCAGGGGAAAAGACGATCCAGAGTGTAATAATAAAATGCAAAGAATGGATGCAAAAGGTAGGCATCCAAAGCAAGAAAGGAAGAGGGGGTCTGTATTAATGAAATCAGGATCATGATGGTGTGCGAAAATAAAAGATGCCTTGTGCGTGCGGGTGTGAGCTTATGAGCATGACCTGACCACTCACATGGTGCTGCGTACTGCTCAAGTCCCTTCTTCTTAGCATCACCACACGGCCTGTGATTCCAATTCCCACTTCTTTTCATGCTTCTTCCTCCGTTCAAAAAAAAAAAATGCTTCCTTTCATATTTAAAAGGGAGGAAAAACACAGGCAAATCTGCAAAGCCAAATCTTTATTTTCCCCTTTTCTATCTGGATTTGAGAATAAAGAAGGACCTCTTTGGATTTGGGAATAAAGAAGGAATAGAAAAGGAGCAAATTATGCTCCCACTCCCCAAAACATAAAAGATGTTTTTTAAGTTACACTATCTAATATTGAAAGTTTATATTATGCTCTCTTTTCTTAATTTCTTTCTCTTCTTCAATAGAACACAAATGGGTTAACAGATAAAAATGTTTTGAAATTTTTTTACAAGAGCTGTCTAATATCTTAAATTTATTTTTTGAGTAATATTATCTTAGAATTTTTAAAATAATGCAATATTACCTTTTCGTTGGAGTTGATTATTAGTTGATTGTTAGTTTACTAGTTTAATTTCTAGTGGCTGTCACCTGACATTTTTGAAAAAATTAAAACAAAAACACAAATCCACGTCTCTTCCCCTTCCCATATTCCATTTTAATCTGCCATGGTCGAGAGAGAGAGAGTGAGAGAGCTTCCAGGACTTCTTTTTCCTCGCAATTCTTCCTTGTTTTGCGTTGTTCTCTTCCTCATGTTGTTCCTCGCTTGCAGAGGTATTTATGCTGTTCTATTAGGTCATTTATTACCCATTTCTTGATTTTCCTATGGCTAGGATTTATGCCCTTGCATTCTCTTACTGGTAGTCGGCCAATTGTGTCTTTTGGCATGCTTTGTGGGTGGTTGGGATTTTCTTCGTGACTGGGTAGGGGGCAGTTGAAGGATTTGGGTTCGGTTTTTTGGCTGTTTTCCACCTTGCTTGATCATTTTGGTAGTCAAACTCAATTTACTCAAGCGCAGCCAAGGGTGTGACCTTTCCTTTAAGGTCAGCCCAAGGATTGTGGTTTTACAAAATACATGGTGGTCTTCTTCGCCCTTCTTTTTGTTCCTTCTTGTCGTACTTACATCAATTGGTAGTTTTTAAAGTCATCCAACTTGTGTTCTCCAAGTTTATGGTATCTACTTGTGCATCTCTTGCGACAAAAGTCCAACCAAGTTTTTGGTATTTTCAAAATTTTGGACAAATTTAAAAAATAGTTGAAATGTGTGATTAAAATACAAAACTATGGTCTTCCCATGCATATGAACTCCCTCTATTATCCTTTCTCTGTCTAATTAATTTTCTCTCTGTCATAATTGGTTTTAAAGTTATCATATTAACCACTAGGAATCAGACCTCTAGACTCTTTTGACTAATACCCTAAATTGACTTTTAGAATTAATTATGCTGAAAGAAAACTAGTAAATTATGAAGCTAATTGCCAATTCCAACCCTTAACTCAATCAAATGAGAAAAATAATTAGTTAACTTTAAGTGTGCTTAATGCATAACTGTGACTCACAAGCTCACTAGAGTTAGCTATAAAAATTAAATGCAACAAAAGATTGAATAAAACTAAATTTGAACAGGCCTAAATTCAAGATTTCAGCACCTCAATTGATAAATAAACAACATGATAATCATATAATACTCAACCAGGTATCAGAAAGTTCAATTCCAATGATCATTGTCACTATAATGTTATAAGCATAAAAAATTAAGGAACTAAACAAGAAGAGATAAGAGAAACATCTAAAATTCAAGAATTTAAAAAGAGTTCATTCACGCATCATAGTAAGAGAAGGCGTCTAGCCACTCCAAGCATATGTTTGTGACGGCTTTTTTATTTTTCAAAGATTAAACTTTATACCAGCTTGAATGCCCGATCTCCTGTACGAAGTGAAAAAAATTCAATTCATATAATCTGTAATCACTTTATTTCTCTCACTATGGTTTTCTTTGCATGGGCTGTGTGTTTAGAGTTTGAATCTCTCTAGGTTTTTGGCTGTGCCGTGTGGGTAATGGCTGGATTTTCATTTGAGCTGTGGGTTTCATTGATTTTCTTTTCCCTTCTGAGATTTTCTGCCGAAATAGGCTTTCTATCTTCGCAAGATACCCTGTAAATTGATTAGAGGAAGATCGAGGGAGAGAATTTAAATACAATAATGGCTGATAGAGATGACGGAACTAGCTGTTGCTACTGTGAAGAATGCTAAGGGGTGAGGGTGGTAGTGCGTGGAGGCATAGCAAAGACAACGTGGATCTTTTAAAAAAAATTAAAAATTGAAAATGCTAGGTGGTAGCCATGAGTAAATTAAGTTAAATTTACAGCTTTAACGGTCATGTAATATTGCTCTTTTTTTAAAATTTTAAGATAATATTGTTTCAAAAAAAAATTTAAGATACAAAACGTTCTTCACCAAAAAGTTTTCAAATATTTTTTCCTTTTAATCCAACATAATATGCTCTTATGCTTACGTTTAAATATCATAACCTATTTTAAATATATCTTTAATCCATTTTTTTAGTAAACACAAGGAGTAAGCTCTATTCATAGCGAGAATTATCTCCTCCAAAGTACTAAAAATAAATGATAGGTCTCCTTCAACTAAGTCACTATGTAATAAATTATTTTCATAAATTATCATACAAATCAAAGGCAAAACTGATGTTAATTGGATTGAGGAGAAGGGACTGACTGAGCTTTCATTGAATAGCATGACGGAACTTGAATTTGATTTGGTATTAGACAGATGTATAACCAATACAAATCAAATAACATTGAAATAAAATAAATTTTATTAAATAAGTTATGTTTTAAATAAAATAAATTTTATTCTTAAAATCTTGATTGATCAGAGTATAAAAATTGTCTTGCAATTCACATAGTTGACCTCATAGGGTAAGATAAAACTTCTTGCTGTTATATATTTTAAATTACCATCATGTCTCAACAAATTGTTAAATAAAGTTGCAAATACTTTCTCAAAGAGCTATGGACTTACTAGTGTGAGAATTTTAGTTGCAAATTATTTGTCCATATTAATATATGAAACATAAATGCATGATTTGCGATTAACATTTCCATATTTACAACTGACTGAAATTATTTTTAACCCATTTATCAACAAAATTTTTTAGGATCTAACTATTATTAAATTGATATATTGGGACTTAAAATAGTTTATTCCACAAAAAAAAGTGCTTTTTATCCTACTGCATATTAATGTGTTGGCATCGATGATAAGATCAAAATGAAGCATATTTGGTGCATATAATATTAGTTACCTGAAATGCCATATTAATGCTCAAAGTGAAGCACTGTATCCACTGCAATTGGCTATGTTTTCATAAACTAGAGAAGGTAACGTGGAAGCCAGTTATCCATTTTTGTCCTATATGTCAGGGTCTAAAATTCCACTCGCTAATCCCCCCTCCCTAGAAAACATTCGACGTGAATGATAAAACAGAATGGAAAGAGGTAGAGAATGGAACAAGGCACAAACAACAAAAGCTTGGCGATGGTTGAGTCTGGGAAGGGAACAAGGAACAAATTAAAGGAAGTACACCTGCACGTGATGAGTGAGGGGGAGAGAGAGAGAGAAACATTCTTTCAAGCTCGGATAATAAAACGTCTTGCGACTCTGATTCGTTTCATCAATAATGCATATAACCTGTTCACGTCTTAGCAAACTCTATTCTGAAGCTGAAATTAAAGTATACATTATATTTGATCACGTAATTAACTTTTAATTCATACATGCACATACAGAGGGAGATTAAAAGTAGTTTGAAGACATTAAATAACCGAGGAATTGAGTTATGTGTGTGTAGAGATAGTTTGAACATGGGAGGAGGAATTGAGTTGCCGACCACAGTAAATTGTTGAAGCTGAGAAGCCTACAATCTTTGCTTTTGTCGTGGGAGCTTCTCCATCACTGCTTAAATTGCCCCAAACCTTACTTCACTGTCGTGTGAATCCGATGAAGACCTAGCATGAGATTTCTGACTTTTACGCCCAAACATGTCAATCAGCCTTCCCCATTTTCACTCCCATGCCTACCCTGACCACTCTCTTTTCTTTTCTGTCAGATTTGTTTCCCCCAATCCCTTGTTTCAAACTAGTTTCACTCGTGACTTACAGCTACTGCATTCTCATTATCCCACAGCTGCACCTGCACGCTAAGTTACTTGTATTCTTCCATCATGTTCTAGTTTGAATTATTAATAACGCGGTCCCTTACTTGTTTGCGCCAGTATGAATAACTCGATCAAGTGCCAAACGTTAATTGATCTGGAGGCTTTGACTATTGTATATATATAGGAAAATAAGTAGGCGTCTAAATGAGCGTGTGATATCCTGGCACTTCTGTAAAACGCAATATAAATGAGCTTGGCAGTTCTCTCTAACAATGTTAGTATTGTGTCGTTGTTACAATTAGACAGAGAGAATATAAGGAGGGAACAGGTAATTATATAAATACTTGACAGTTACATAATGGCGACCAAACAGAGGACGGCCTCGCTAGATTTGGATTGCTTCTGCTACAACCTTAATCGTAACCGTAAAACTTGGTGGCGTCTCTCGTGAGATCTCTCTGTACCAACGAATTCTGGTCCCTTTATACAGTACCTTGGTCTTGCTTCCTCCCAATTCCATCCCTGGGTCACCATCTTCCGATCCTCTGCTTCATCATGGGTTGTGGATTGTCAACTAGGCTAAACCCAGAAAATGCTGCAACTCTCAGCCGGCGACGCATTATAGACATCAATTCACAGGCAACCAGCAAGAATATTGACCGTGGCGGCGACGATAGCGTCCTATCTTCGGCCCAACGGAGCCAGAAAAGCGTATCGTCGTCGCAGGGGAAGGACGTGAAGCACGGTGAAGGAGAAGAGGAGGAGGAGGGAGAAAAAGTGGAAGAGGGTTATCAGAATGAAATCCTCATTTTGCCACGGTCCCCAAGTTTCAGGGAGTACTGCATTGCCTCCTCTAACTCCAGGAATCGAAGTTTTAGTGACAACCTCAATGACAACGACTCTGCCTCCAGCATCAAGAATAGCGGTCGATCATTATTTTACTTCTCTGAATATATATATATATATATTTATATATATTCCCATTAAAATTGAATAGCATTTTGATGGGGTTTGTTTCTTTATCTGCAGGTGATGAGGATTCGACAAATAAGCCCGAGGACAAGAAGGTCTGATATTCATCCTGTACATGAGTGTGTTTACGGAGAGTTGAGATTAGGTTATATCTGTTGTTTAAATGTGTGTTTCTGCACATATTATGCAGGAACGAAAGAAGAAAGAAAGAAGAATACTAGGACTCAGGAATGTTATGCACAAGGGGATGCACAGAAGGAAGAGGAAATAAGAAGTGCATGCTATATACCAATAAAGTGGCTGGAAAAAAAAAAGAACAATAGACTAATCTCCTTTCCGTAATGACGCAGGATGGTTGTTCCCTCGAGTGTCTCTTTTTGTTTTAGTGTAAAAGCAGCATATACAATGATTGTCAGAGTCAGAGGACCAAATATAATGCAAAACGGGTGTTAGCTTGACCCTTCTAACCTTCCTGCCATCGAAGTCCAATCCCATGATTTCCCATTGTTCTGTATGCTCGGAGATGGTTCCGAGTTTCAAAGCCCATGTCAATGTTCACGTGATTTTTCAAGTACCGAATTGAATTCGTACGGCGGTAGCAGTAGACTTTCTTTGCAGAAAATAAAATTATCGGGTGTCAATACTCAATCCAATTGACTGGCCCACAACCACGGATTTCCTGGCTCCGGCGGCAAGATTTTTTTTTAATATATATATATATATATATAGAAAAGAAAAATCAAATCTTGCATAAAATGGGGTTTTCTTGAGCTAGTGGAGCTATTGAGAATTGGAGAGCTGGCCGGTTCTTAGCGGATGGCACTTGAAAAGGTCCAAAACTTTTTTTAGAATTTTTGTTTTTTAAACCTAGCTTTAGTTTTCTGGATTGAAGGGCTGGTCTTGCGAGACTCGACTCTAATATAATTTTTTAAAAATTTAAAACTTAATGAACACATTTATAATTAAAAAAAGTTATTATATATAAAATTTAGTTTATAAAAATAAATTTAAGTAAATTTATAATGAATTTATCAAAGCTTGAATATTTAAATCCAATGTTAGAGCAATACGATCAAAACTATGCAATCAATTATAAATATAAATGATGGCCTTAACATTATTTATAAAAAATTTTTAATAATTTGTTAAAATAGGTGAACTAATATTAAAAATTGATTCAGCCATAGCTAGCTACAGTAATGATTGAAATACTAAAAACACTAACAGCTAGCTGGTCATCCTTAAAAAAAATTAAAAATCAATGTCAATTGTTCTTCTACCCATTGGATGCATCTATTCCTTTCTAATCACAAGGCCCAAGTATTGATTCGTCCAGGTAATTATTTAGTTCAGACTAACCCGTAGAAAAAGCATTTATACTCATATAAATATCTTGATAATCCTCCATTATATTTGTAAAGAATTAAAAAAAAGTATCACTTAAATGTCAATAAAGTAAAGCAAGATTAAACAATACCGAACTCAATTGATAAAGTATTCGTAAAAGGTTAAGTAACGCCATTTGAAGGAGGCTTCCAAGAAAATATTTTCATGTTCTTGGGCGGAAAGAAGAGAACGGTTTTACACTAGTTGAAGAACGATCTCAAGGGGAGAACCAAAAAAAAAAAAAGAAACTGAACACGTGACTAGTGTGGTTGAACGAGGAACAGTACAAGAGAAGACTCAGTGGATTTCCCACTCGCAGAGTTGCGTGGCCGGCACCTATGATCTTATATGCTTGTCTTGACCCCAGCTCTGTGTGTTGGAGAGACATTCCTGTTCGCCATTTGAATGTTCCCTCTTCCTTCAACATCAAGCTTCACTGCCTTTTTGACCCAACCCCTCCTCTTTCTCTATCTTCATCACAACCACGTCTCACGCCACGCCTTCCCACATTCAAGCAAAAAAAAAAAAAATCCAATCCCTCTTCTTTCTCTCTCAAGATTCCCAAACACCGACATTACCAAAGATAACATCAAGTTTTCTCCGTAATGCACAAGCAGCCAATACCTCGCAACGCATGCCAGCTGCAATTAATATTACTATATTGTGATTTCCAGCAACATGTATGTCTAAAACGTCGGTTCCTACATTTTTTTCAATAAATCATACAGTCCCTTGGGAAATTTATTTTAAATATAAGTATATTACCGCGCCCGTCGCTCATGGTTATATTCATTTCAAATCATATTCGTCACGCATTTTGACGTCTTCCACTACGGTGATATATTTTCCAAGAAATCCTCTCTTAATTAATCATAGCTACTCAATCACTCTGAATTCCAACCAAAGCCGTCGAATTGAACGATATGTTCAGTCAGACGTTTTACACAATGGGTCGCCTCTGTCCTTGGCACTTTCACGCTGGAATTTTTTAAGGGGAGAATGATAATTAAATCTCAAAATATTAAATTAATGATGATAAAATCCCCAACAAATTTTATTAAAAAATAAGTTGAAAATATTTATCTAGATAATGATAAATTTAATAATTTTAATTATAAATAAGTATTTATGCATCAAATGTTACTTATTGGCCAAAAAAAGTATCAGGTATTTCTTTTAAATAGAAATTTATAATTTATTTTTTTTAAAATTTTGTCAGGACCTCATTGCAGTTAATTTGTTTATTTGGAATTTAATCGTCATTCTGCCTTTTCTAAATCCATATGTATCTTCCCTTTTCCTCGCCGTCAACAACAAAAGAGCATAAATCAATAATCTTTCCGCTGACCTTTTTTTTTTTTTTTAACCTGGTAAACACCTATCTGCTGCTGACTTCAGATTGTATACAATATATATATATATATATAACGTTAAAATTCATGCCGAAATGCCTTATTGGAAAAGGAAGGAAGGAAAAAATAAAATACATTTTTTCCATTTCTCATTAGATCAATTATTTTGACGTTCGAACAGTTAATTCCGAGGACGCAACGAAGCTTTGATGTCGATGCTGATCCGTTCACGATTTTATTTCTAGACTGTTTTGGAAGTCAAGACAAAATTGCTTCTCCCTGACTTTTACAATATTTAGCAGCAGCAGCACGAAATTCCTTTTCATTATCAATTTATCATGGACTTTATGTTTAAAGGATGTGAGAGTCAGAAATATATATCCTTTCGCAATAGTGGAATGACAATTTAATCATATAAAGTGTGATAATACTTTTTAAATTTAAAAATATTAATTGTCATTAAAATTTTTAATTAAATGACAAAAATATTTTTTTACTTATAATTTTAGTTTAGAAATTTATAACTCTAGTTTAACAAAGGACTAAAGTGATTTAGGGCTTGTTTGAAATTATTTTTATTTTATTATTTTGAAAATTGATGTTTTATAAAGTATGTTATGAAAATAAAAAATAATAAAAATGAATATTTTTCTCATTTTTTATTATTTTTTAGAATAATAATCTCAGAATATTTGAAAGATATGTACATTTTTTTAAAATAATATTTTATTTTTCTATTCTTCAAAACATTATTTGAAAACATGTTATCAAATATATATTTTTTATTTTTTTATTATGGAAAATAGAAAATTATTTTCAGAACAAGTTGTCAAATAGGTTCTTAAACATTTACAATTTTTTTTATTATTTTTTTCAATCAGTAAAGTGCAACAAAGTTTTTTTTATTTACAACTTTAATTTTAAAATTCATAACTTTGATTCATCAAATTACTAAATTAATTTAGGCATTTGCAATCTTTCCCTACCACTTTTATTCAAACAACAAAGTGTAACAAAACTTTTTTTCATTTGTAATTTTAGTTTTAAAATTTACAAATCTGGTTTAATAAATTATTAAAGTTGTTTAAATATTCAAACCTTTCTGGAATCCCATCTTTGTTCGTGTAGTATTGTCAAAACCCCACCGCTTTTGACACTGACGTGATCCTCCCCTTCCCCAAACCTCCCACTCTGCATGACGCCACCCATTTCCCCAAATCCTCTCGCTCTCTCCCATTCACTAAATCACCCTTACGATGCCTCCTCTCGCCTCTCGCTTTTCTCCGTAATGCTCTTTCTTTCCCCCGTTCACTCCACTTTCGCATTTCGTATCTCCCTGATCTGTTTCTGTCGCTTTTAACTCAAGTCTCCTAGCTTCTGCTTCTTCATTGCCGTTTCAAGATATGCAGCTACTTTCACGTGCCCAGATTCTGTCTGATTTTATCGAGCTGTACACTGCGAAGCAAGCCCAGAGGCGTCAATTTTCTTCCTTCTATGCATCGCTTCATCTTTACGTCCTGTACATTCATTGTATTCGAGTTTTTAAAAAATGAAGTCCTTGTTGAGCATGCTGAGGAGGATTTCACTTCACAAGAGCGTTGGCAGAGAGAAGGCAGACTTTCAGCCTTTCACGATGTCCGATGAGCTTGCTCAGGTTGCTAAGGTACTTGTGCGACTTGTTTGTCCTTTTCTATTTAAATTTTCTTTGAGTTGCCAAGTGTGTTCTCGTTGGCCAACGACTTCTAAAGCAAAATAATCACTGTGAGAACACGACCAAATAAAGAAAGAAAGGTCATTTGCACCAGAGAGCTGGCATTTTGGATTTAGAGAAGATTTAGGAGATTCTCAAATTTTGATGGTTGATGCAAATTTCAAAGTTCACATGGTTCCTGACAAATTCCTCTGTTTGGATGATTTATTGGAAGGTCATTGTTTCTGAAGATTTACTGATGCACCTATTCGCTTGCAGCTTGGATTTGCCTGTTTCGAACATGTTTCATGACACCTAACTAATTGAAGATTTTTTTTCCTCGATCTCACTCCATAGCTAACCTGTGATGTTTATGATGGGTTTGCCTTTTATTAATTCTTGACTGGTCAGGTGAAACCGATATTTTCTTGTGAACTTCTTAAACTCACCATTTGTAACAAATCTCCATAAAGGATCATCTGTAGATGCGAACCTTATAGTCTGCAGGGTGTCACAACCTATGTTCAGATATAAGAGAACCCACAAGGTTGTGGAATTTTTGGAGACCTCCAGGATAACAGAGAGAATTCTAAAGCTTTCAAGAAGGATCCACTATGTTCTAGAAGTGTCTAGAACAATTTAGAATTATCTAGAGAAATTTAGAAAGATCTAGAAGTTTCTAGAAAGGTCTAGAATCTTATGGAGGAATGCAGATATATCTAGAATATTCCACACATATCTTAAAAGTTAGTTTCTAGAAACATTTTTGTAAATATTTATATATTTATTGTAGATATTTTTATGTAACACTCTAAAGAATGAATGTAAATCGTAGGATTAAATTAATCTCCACCATCCATTAAGAAAGTGGGAATTTTCTGGAGAATGGGGGAGGCCTATAAATACCCCCACAACCCTCATTTGTAAATAACAAGGAAAGTAATCAAAGTTCTAAGCTCTTAAGTTATCTCATCCAAACTCTCTTCTATCTTGTGTTCAAGTTTCCTAATTTCTTTGCCTACATCCTGAGAGTTCGACTGATTTAGCAAAAATCAAGAGGTTGATCATGTTAAGGCTGGCATGATTCAAGGAAAAGGAAGTTCCAAGATTGTGACAACGTGGTA